GCATCGGGTCGCCGCGCGACGCCGTAGAGAAGGTTTCGAAGGTAAGCTTCAACAAGAATCAGAGCATCCATTGTCGACGAAATATAGCCATGCCATGTAGGACACAACTGGCTATGATCTTGCGCTTGGTGGGAGTCCATTGCCAGAAATGTTATGGGTCGCCGTTTGAAGAAGATGCAGGATATACCAAAATTGATCTAAATCGATATCAGTAAACGAACATATTTTTGACAACTCAATACCTCGTAACATGATTTAATGTACCATGGGGAGAGCATTACGTGCCATATGACACACAGCGGCAGCAACAGACGTCAGTGGGTAGTTGTTTAAAGTGACTAACCCGGGTCTTTATTTTGTGGGAAATCCCCCCACGCCTTCTGTTTTCTTTTTCCTCCTGCTGTTGTTGGGGTGGGTTGTCGCCAAGCTTTGGTCACAATGCAGGGTCAGGAGTCATTTATGGCAAAGGTGTGACGGAGAAGCGGAGTATGTGATCCAGAGGGTCAGGAAAACACAGCATCGATAAGGCCTGTCCGTCAAACTTCTGGAAAGGGATACAATGTTATTGCGATTTCCCCCTGTTTTACCAACTGGCACACCGCGCACAGCCTCACAGTGAAACACATCCTCTCGTACTGCTATGACAGAAATTGTTGTTAAAAGGCTGCTAGCGTTAAAGGGGCATTAGTTACTCTAGACTTGATGTTTTGTATTATCCCACCCGCCGGCGACAGTTGAAACCTGCTTATAAATGTGCCATAGGATAAGACGCACCCCTCGGACTAACTGACTTAGCATTGGATCATGTGTCAATGGACGCTGCGTGTTGGGGGTCGCGCTGTGTCTTTGGTCTTTGGCGGCGCTGTGTGTCCAGCCCACTACAAATTGGCTGGACGCAACTGTGCGTAAATGAAAAGTAGCTTATGGAGGCGGCTGCGTGGTTACATCAAGAAGCTTGAAACAGAGGCATGGATTGTTCATTCTTCGTATGCATAAAGCGACTCGCATTACAGTGGTTTGAGAGAGGAGTGGAGCCGGATGGGGCGGATGTCTATGCTGTGCATGTCCATTGTCAGATGTGTGGCAAATCACTCTTTGTCCGGGAGCTCACGCTTAAAACGAAGGCTTGTTAGATAAAAGGGTAACTGTTCAGGACGGCATGACTTGGTCTATTTTCGGCAGGAAATGAGAGATTGTATGACACACATTAATCGCACGCCGTCTTCTAAAACTCCGTCCGTTATTGTCTGTGTCGGCGGTCAGCACCGTCCTTATGGTGGTCCCAAGTCCTCCGAGTGCCAACAAATTGTGAACCGTGGCACAAGCAGTCCCCAA